AGTGATTTAGAGCCCGCTTAGCAGTTCGGACATGTGTCGACTCTGTGGCTGCTAATGAGCTGCAAATCGTGAGCCTTGCGTACGTGCACGAGTCCTTTTTGGACGCACATCCGCACTCGGGCTGAAGGATGCGTAGGCGAGTCTTAAATGTCAGGAGCAGCGACTGATTAACCCATTCATTTAGTCACTGAACTTCTGGAGTACATTCGAAGTTTAAAGAAGATGTCTTGAGATCGATATAACACTAAACCAAAGTAAATAATTAAAAATTAAAATTAATATTACCTAAATAAAATTAGAATATTCTAATTGATATTTATAAATTTTATATATTTCTAGGTACATTTTAAATGTGAATTTTTTCAAGTATTTATATATTTACTAAACACCTTTTTCACAAGAAAGTAACACATTTTTAAATAAACGTGTAAACTATTCCCCCATGAAGCAACGATCTAAATCGCAAACATAACCTAAGCTATTTTGATATTTATGAAGCAATTTAGTTCTAGCATTTATAATCACACATGTGTGTAAAAATACTTTTATATAAACGATTCCGTGAAAATAAGACCCTTTTGTCTCACCCCATTTGACTAATTAAAACTTTAATTCAATAATTTAGCCACTTATAGGGCATTTAAGCCATCGTCCCTTCAACTCCGACTGCCAACTATTAAGGACATTTTTATTGCCTTCCCAGGAAAAAGCATGGAAAAAACCCAATTAAACCGAACCCGTATTTAAGTGTGCCAATGGCAATTTAGTCGGGTTCTAATTTCAGTTTTAGTTGCCGTCCCGACGTCAAACAACAAAAAAGCCCGCAACTGTTGACCGACGACTGTTTGGTGGCTTTTCGCCGCTTTCACTTTTCACCGCTCGCATTTCCACTTTCCACTTTTCCACTTTTGATTCGGAAGGGCAGTCGGGATCGGGATTGTTGTTATGCAAATGGAACGCACTGAAAGAAAATCAATTAACTAAAGCAAACACGGGGGCGTGGTTAAAAACAATGAATCCCCTTCCTCTGCCTTTGAAATGTCCTGTCAAACGCTCATTTCGGATGGGGGCTTGAAAATTAATTAAACCTCATTTGATGCAATCTTTCGGCGGGCCTAATTCGGGCCCAGATCCATGTGGATATCCATGGCCAAAATGCGAATTCGAAGCAGCAGCGGAGGCAGCAGCAATTAGGCCCAAAGTCCACAGACGCATGGAATTCCTGGCCAAGGATATTCGGGGCATGGCGATGTTATGTTATGTGTGCGGTTATGTGTATGGCATGACTGTCATTTGCTTTATGCACACGCCGAGGAAATATTCATGATTGCAGTTAACAAGGACAATTATGATTGATTTATGGCCGCCGCCTGATCTGTGTGTGGGTCGGCTTTATGGCAGGTGTGATAAAAGTTATTATCCCACGAGCCACACACTGTGTCTCAGGCACAAAGTTTCGGTTTGAGTGGCTCGTTAAAAGTGTAAAGCATCCCGGCAACTAAGATACGGCGCTAAATTAACATTGTAAGTGTCTTGTATTCCAGCGAAAACATAACATTTAATTAGATTAGCCATATGAGCGCGAAAAAGGCGAACAAACTCATTTACATTTTGTATCTCGGGCGTTAAGTTTATCAACCTTTATGGCCCGAACTTTTGTTATTGCCTATGCAAATGAGTAGCTGGCTTTAATTATGGCAAAATCCCTGGAGAGTAGGTTTAAATAAATCAAGTTCAAGCCGAAAAGATCATTGACCCTTAACCGGGCTATATATGTCCCCAAAATAAATATTCATTTATTGGCTGCAATCGAAGGCTGTGAATAATTAAAATCCAAATTGTTTTCAATTATTTTGCGAAAAGTTTTACGTTCCATACGGTTGTGCAATGCAGCATAATTAAATGCTCCTGGCAGGGGACTAATAAAATAACCGATTGCCATCAGGACAGGTGCAACAAAAATAGCAAAAAGAACAAAAAAATAAATTGCCAAAAACTGTTTGCCTCCCTGTGCACACATAATGCAATTTTAATGGCAAACAATGTTTTAACTCGTATTTGTATTCAGGTATACAGAAAACTGTTTGTTTCTATATAAACTTGGGGCAGGACTCATAATTTGCGGCAGGCGAATCCTTTTCGGGCCCGGCAGCCATGTCGTTGGCCGCAATCGATGTCGTTTATCTTCTGATTTGTTGCCAAACGAAGCAAAACAAATCACTTGCTTGAACGGAGCGATCCAACAACTAAATTTCAGAGGTCCTGCCGGAAGGAGCTGCAGCTTTTCAAGGGATTTTTCCGCTACTCCTGCTCGCTTTTCCCTTTTTCTCAGCTGCTGTTGCGAATGAATTGTAGCCATTTTTCAGGCATCTTTGGCAGACTCGTGACGTCCAACGTTTCGCAGGAGAGGACAAAAGCGGAAAAAAGCTGGGAATTTGTGACGCCTCCGCCTCGTGTTAACAATGGAAGTATGCCACGCCCCTCTTCACCCCACTGACAAAAGGTACAAATGTCGCTGAAATTTATTAGCTTGCATTAACCGACACAAGGACTCGCCGGAATACACACCATATATTAATAAAGGAGCGCGTGTGAGTGCCACAGCAATTGTTTTGTCTTTCTGGCTCCGGCTAAAGTGCACATTTGTTGTCTTCTTTATTCCGGCCCAGAAGTTAATCAGGATTTGTGACTCATCCTCGCACGCACTGATAAATTAATTTGGGCCCCGGCTTCCTTGACATTTTATTGAAATTTGCATAAACATAATTTCCGAGGGGCCGTCCGTAAATCCTGGCGCCAAGCAAAACACTACAGAAGACTCGGCAGAAAGTTGGGTAAACATGCAGTAAGAAAAACTCTATTATTTCACTACATTAACTTGGGATTTATTGTTTATGGCAGGCGAGGAGGTTGAGGGTGAGCAATTCAATGGACACGAACATCGATGGGCTCAAAGTCAAAGTTTCTGCGGGATATATTTACTGAAAAGTTGCTGGAAACTTGAGGCGGCCCTTGAGCAAGCAGGTGAGGCCTTGTCCTTGGCTGCACTTTTTCTCGTCCTCAACTTTTCCCCTAATTGAATGGGCTTTGTCTTGTGTGTGTGTATCCTCTGCAGTGGCCGCATCATAAGGCTGTCATAATATGCATTTTAAATTACGTATGCACACGCGGCGTATGCGCAATATGACGAGCAGCAGCCGCCGCAAATTTCCTTGCTCTCCCTCCTTTCATTTTGTGTAGAGAAATTCCAGCACGATGCGAATCCACTTGGCCTTTGTTTCTAGCCAAGTTTATGTTATACAATTTTCGTTTCCATTTCCGCTCTTGGCATTCACTCCTCTTTCGCTCGTAAATCTTCGAAGAGGCGGCGGGTAAAAATGGAAAATTGCCCATTTTGTGTGCTGGGTCATAAAATGGCAACAGATCAATATAACATTTATTTATATTTTCGACCGAATGGCCATAAAAGTGTTGCGCCATTCAAATGATCGGCGGATTGGGGTGCTCTAATTAATATGTGGGTGAAAAAATCTAGTCAATGGGAGCACTTGAAAGGCTGCCCCGGGGATTTATGGCCTGCTGCAGGCCGGAAGTGTCACTTGGCAACTCCGGCAAAACTCACAGGACCAGGACTCCCCATTCCTCTTATCCCAGTCTGCGAGCCTGTATTTATGTAGCGATAAAATTAAATTTATTTTAACGCCAGCCAAAGGTGTGCGCACATAGTCAAACACTATCGCCAACTTGGTAGCAAGTTCGGTTTGAAAACTATCCCTACTTGGCCAGGAAATCGCTGGAATCGCAGAGGCACAGGGGCCGGGAAAAGCACCTGCGATAAAAGTTTCTGCGCCATTTTCCACTTTCTTTATGTAGATGTGTGTGTGAGAGTTTGTGTTTGTGTCTGGGTATTTGTTGCCGGCTTTTTTGGGCATACGCACGAGTCCGGTGCTCCGGCAGTCGCTAACTGTAATGCAGCCCATAAACCAGGCGGCAAATGCAATGATATTGCCAATGGTCGTGGCCGTGGTCGTGTTTAATCTGCCAGCCGGAGTTAATATGCCTGCCGCAATGCAGTGGCAGACGGACAGAAAAGAGGGTAAAGGTTTTCCTCCAATTTTCTTGCCAGTCGGCAGAAATTTTCGCTTAGCCACAAACTGTTCCCGAAATTTGATGCAAATGTCGGCATGAGATGTGATCTGAAATGAGGAAGTTTAATAAAGAAACTGGAGATGTGATGCAGTCAGCTTTAAATATTATTTAAAACTTAAAAGTATTTAAAACCAAAGTGTTAAAATAACAATATAAAAAAATAATTTAACCAACAAACATAAAGCATAAAAAAAAGTGAAAAAATACCGAAATCAATTAACAATTAACTTTTTGCTTATGATACAAATTTCATTTTAATAATAATCAAAATAAGGTTTTCAAGACGAGCTAAAGTAAATTACATTTAAACAAATAATTATTAAAAGCTTTTTAAGCCATTTAATTTAGTCCTTGTAAAAATTGATTAAATACCACTCGGTAAAAACAAATAATTTCGCTAGTGAGTCATACACACAGCACTTTCATAACAAAATGTACAGTAAACAACGCTTTCATTCATTCGCATAACATCTAATTAAATCCAGGCGTTTGCTATTATTGAACAAGGTGCCATACCCATATCACATTCAACTTCATCCACGTGTGTAAACTAAACCCCAATTATTTGCTACTATAACCAAACTTTGATTAGCTATCGCCAACACCCCCCGTAAATGATTTATGCCACCCGAAATTGTGTTAATTAAAACTCTTCACTTGGCTGTGGGGAGTGAGCATATTGATTTTCGCTGTTTCGATTGATGGCTGCTACTGGCGATGATTTTATGGTCTCGGCCATATAGCCACACTTATGGTTATGGATATGCAGTGCGATAAGCTGATAAACGATCCACTCACGGTCCCTTATAAATAGGAGTGGCTAGTGCGGCCGCCTCGTAAACGGATCGCAGATGTCGATGGCCAAGAAGTCTGAGCCGCCGCCCCAGGACTCGCTTGCCACGGCCCCAAAGGCCACCTTTCTTCGTTTGGGCCACAAGAACCACTCGCAGTGGAATGCCCTCGGTTCGGCCTCCTTTATCCTGATCTCCGGCGGCATGAGTTTGGCCTGGGGTGCCGGATTCGCCGTCCATTCCGCCCACAGGGAGCAACTCCTGCTCACCGTGCACATGCAAGTCGCCTGGTATGCCACTGCCATCTTGGGAGCTCTTTTTGGGGCATTCTACACCCACCGACTGCCACAGCAACCCATCTATGTGAGTAGGTTGAAAAAGAAATTTTTACTTCTATGCAACAAAACAAGATCTATGATCCTAAGTTCCACGAAAATAATAAATATTTAAATTGTAGAGCTTGTAAAATATTTGGGAATTTTCCATAAATAAATATTTTTTACATTTTTACAATAATTGAAATAAAATGTTTTAGATATTATCGCATTTTTTACAAAGGTCATAAGATGTATCTTCCCCTTTTTGCAGATTTTTGGCTCCTGTTTAGTAATAGCCTCCGGAATATTATTCCTAGCTTGGCCGCAGAGTCCTGGCGCCATTATAGCCGCCCGATATCTGGACGGATTGGCCAATGGTCTGGTGTTTGTGCCCGCCCTGAGTACCGTGGGTGAGATTGCGGTGACCGAGATCCGAGGACTTCTGGCAGCCACTGTGGAGCAGCTGAGCTCGAACACTGGTATCCTGATGCAGCTAATCTACACGGCTGTGTGGCAGGTGGACTGGAACGTGGTCATTGTGGCGGACCAGGTGCACGGAGTGCTCTCCTATAATCTACGGGGTGATAGCCCTGGCCCTGTCCCTCACCCTTTGTGTGGAGTCACCGGTGCACCTGCTGATGCGATCCAACGAGCAGAGGGCAGTGGTTGCCCTGAGGCACCTGCAACGACCCTACATGGTGACCAGTGAAACGCTGCTGAGACTCGATGAACATAAGCTGTATGTGGCCGCCAATCGGGAGATGTGTTCGGGGTTGAGCCTTCAGAAGGGGTTTCCATCGCTCGTTAAGCTGCTGGCCCTCCGACTGCTGGGCATCATGTGCCTGAACTTCATCATCTGCAGTGCTCTCTACGAGACGGCCAGCCAGCTGGTGAGCAGCTTTCACGCCTGGCCCTACGTGGTCTTCGGAGTTCTGCGCTGGAGCGGCTGCTTCTTTGTGGTGCTCCTGATGGACACCACGGGCCGCAAGAAACCCACCCTCTTCGGCATCTTCTCCACCGGAGCCTTTGCCATCGCCTTTGCCAATCTGTTTGGCAGAACTCCCCACATGATCACCGCCCTGGTGATGCTCTTCAGTTTGCAGTTCTTCGCGGGACTGGGACAATGCGCCTCGGCGGTCTACCTCACGGAAGCCTTTCCTCTGGGACTGAAACCACACTTGGTCGCCGTGGTTTACTTAGTGGAACTTATCACACGACTGCTCCTCTGCAGCTTTACACCATCGATCGCCGGGATTACCGCCTACTTTCATGTCCTGGGCACTCTGTCGATGGTGTTCTTCCTCCTGGGAATCTTCTGTCTTCCAGAAACTAAGCTGGTCACCTTGGCAGAGGCACAAATTAAGTTTTCCAAGTGGTTCAACAAGGACTTTTAAGTAAATGGGAACAGGGGTGATAAATTTTTATTATGTACACGATAAGAATGTTTATTTAGTCAGTACTTCACTGGGTTTATCTGGAGATAATATTGCTTTCTTTACAACATTTAAAATAAAGGGGAGTCCCGTAAAATGTAAAAACAATTTGTAAAAAAGTAATAGCAAAATAAATAAATGGTTGAAATAGTAATATTATTTTATGATACGAAAATAAAATTATTAAAGGGTTAAAAATGCCTTTTAGACTTGTTTTTAAAATTCTAATCAAACTGCCCTAAGTCCGATAATTAAAAATAAACAATCCATGAACTAATCTAAAGCTTGCCAAAGAGAATAGGTGCAGTAACTATTTGCACAACCGTTAAGTTAGTTTCTTTTGCACTGACGACGAAGAAGGTTGCAAGCAATATGAGTCGATTAAACCACAACAAGCCAAAATGGGATGATAGCCACAGTTCCGGGAAGGGAAACAAATTAAAGCCAAACGCATGGGATTCAGGTGGGTGAATGTCGGAACAGTAATGCAAAGTAATCTTATCTGGCCTGATCGAAACGGGGGAATTCCTGGAATTCATCTATTTCGTTGACGGTTTGGGAAAATCTTCTAATCAGCAAAATTTTACCAGCTACGATTTTACCAGCTACAGGTGGCCTAGGAAACATAACCACAAAGTACAATTATGTGGCTCTGTTCCTTGTTGGAATTATCGGAGCTGCGTTTGACTTCTTCATCAGAAACAAGAAAGCCAGGAAGCAAATCTTGGTATGAAATATATAAACTTAAATAATTTTATTTAATTAAAATTTAAAATTCTTTCCTGGTAGCAATTTTGTTCCCTTTTGATTGCGATTGGAAATCTGGTAATGGCTTGCTTTAAAACCACTGGTGGACGAAACAGAAAATATATTCCGAAAGCAAAAAAACAATAAGTGAAAAACTTAAAACCTTGTTATGTAGCCTGAAATCAAAATAAATATACTAAAAGAAATGGTAAAACAAACAGATTTTAACAATGTTTTAAATTTATTTTTAAAAGTTGTGGCGGATTCAGGATTTGTTTGGGTAAATCATTTTTATTTACCATATATATTCCTGTTTAATGTAAATATTTGGAATTAAATAAATAATTTAAATTATTTTGTAAGTAGCTATCGATTTTACAGCTTTTCCTAATCGAACAATTAATAAATAAATTATTTGGCAATTATTTTCAGTAGCGTAAGGCGGTGCTTGAGTCATTAGTGTTTCCATCGACGTAAAAATGATTGATGATTATTAATTTATTGTAGCTACCTTTTTCTTCTAATTAATATGAATGACAAAACCTATTTATGGAAGCATTCAAATAGTTATTTTAGTAATTCTGAGAATTAAATGGAACCAGTAGAGATTTATTATCAGCGATGAAATTATTCAATTTTGTTTAATAGGTTATGATGCCCTGCTTTGAAAACATATTTAAGTTATAAAATTAAATTGTTAACAGCATGCCTAAAAATCGAAGAAATACAAATTCTAATCTTAGGAATGCCAATGACCACCAATTCCTGGAATCGTTATATGGCTCTTTCTTAAAATGCATGATTCAGATTTTATTGCGGACTTTGGCGCCGATGATCAGTCATAGCAACCGAAAGAAGTCGGGGAAAAACATTATTCCGGCACACTTATTCCATTTAATTGCGAACACCCGAACTATACACGGTCAAATCAGAATCGTTGTGATCTGAAGAGGGTTGTATATACCTCATATGCCATAAAGTATTATTCACAAATATTGATAGGAGAGTCCTTATCGGGAACTTATGTACTATGTTTTGCACCCCGCCCCCCAGTGATAAGAGTTTGTTATCAGCTCGGCCAGGCTCCATGTCGGCAGACATAAATATCATTTGGCCAGCTGCCGTATTAGCCAGTTTCAAATCGACCTCAAACGGAGCAGGTTGTCTTCGTGCGGAGTGAAATAAATCGCGATCGGCCATGCAGAACGACAAGTTTGCTCCACCGCCGTTGGGCATGCAAAACGACAAGTACTCACCGCCAATGGGTTTCACCTCGGCCCCACCACAGCCAGGATACCCGCAGCCAGGATATCCACAGCCAGGATACCCGGCTTACACCACACCGGCGGAGAACTACGGAGGTCCTCCGCCACCACCACCGCAACCACCGAGGGATCCACCCACCAGAGTGGATCCACCACGAGATGGATGCTTCAGGCGCAACCAAAAAAACAAACCACAAGCCAATGCTGTAGGCGCAGGTGAGTTCGGTTTTGTGATCCATCAAGTTACTCGCCCACCAAACAGTTGACAAGGGTGATAATCTAATCTTCTCCGAAAAAAATACAGTCTATTCCTGGAAACAAAGAAGATTATCAACAGTGACGCAATTTATTGCGTACCAAAATCGTATTTTATTTCTTTTCTGATACCCCAACGATTTTATTTACTAAAATAAAAACAATGTAAAATTAAGTCAACAAAATATAATCACAATTCCGAAAAGTATAAAAAGTTTCGGCTCAGTTAAGAAACGACGGAAACGGCTTATAATAATATGGTTAAAATTCCAATCTGAACCTTTATTTACTTGTTATATAAAGTAAACTATATTCAGCTGAAAAGTTATGTTATATTTATATTTGATAAATAATGTAGATTAGAAAAATCATTTTGTACATATTTTTATTACATAATAAATAATAGAAAAAATTACCTTAAAAAATACTCAAAGCACTAGGGTTTGGGTAGTTTTTTCGGGAATAAAAGGATAGGAACATTTTATTAGGTAAAAATTACATTATTTTTAGTAATTTTCGTTTTAAATTTTTGTTTTGGGCGACTTTTTGGTGAAAGTTAAAAGAAAACAGTTTACTCAATTATTCTTTACTAATTTTAAACTTTACTTTTTTTCGACTTTCAGCTGGCCTAATCTTCATCTCAGGAGGCATGAACATTGCGTGGTCGGTTGGCTTCCGAGGCGTGAGCTACTACCAATTTACCAAGCACAACTTTGTAGCCTGGTTCATTGGCGCCATTATTGGAGCGTTTATTAGCACCCTGCTCACTAACAAGGTGGCCAAAAAATATGTCCTGGTAAGTCAACACTAACTGTAAATAATTTAACATCCCCTATTTAACATTGATTCTTCCTTCCACTTAGCAATTTTCCTCTGTTCTGGTTGCCATCGGTGGACTGATCATCGCCTGCACCCACAATAATGGACCCGGAACGGTGGCCGCTTGCTATTTGGATGGCATAGCCAACGGTTTGATATTCGCCCCTTTTATGGCCCTGGCAGGAGAGGTTTCAGTGCCTTACATGAGAGGCCTGGTCACGTCCAATTTGGAGCAACTTTTGTTTGGCGTCGGTTTCCTGCTACAGATCGTCTATGTCACCTCGTGGACGTATTCCAGCTACCCATCCTACAACGATTTCACGGCCGAAAACATGAAGGGTGTGCTGAGCACCATCTATGGCTTTTTGGCCCTCATTTTCGGCTCCCTTATGACCATCGAATCGCCAGTTCTGATGCTGGCCAATAACGATGAGCAGGGAGCCATTGACGCACTGCGTCGCCTGCAGAAGCCCGCCGTTCTGACCGAGGAAACCTACGATCTGCTGGCGGAGCACAAGCGCTACTTAGCCGTCAACAAGGACATGTCGAGGGGTCAGGCCCTTGGCCAGGGCTTCTCCACCTTCGTCCGAATCGCCTTCCTGCGAGTCCTGAATGCGATGAGCCTTTCCAGCTTTGTGGCTACCACTATGGCCATTTCCATCTACGCCTCGCACGGATTGAGTAGCGCCAATGCCTGGTACATAGGATTCGCCCTGTGCCGTTGGTTGGGAACCCTCATCCCGTCCTTCTGCATGGAGTCCCTGGGCCGAAAGAAGCCCACTGTTTTCGGGCTCATCGTGAGCTGCATTTTGTCCTTCGTCGTGGGCTCCCAGTACAGTTGGTACACCTACATGAACGGAGTGAGCGTCTTGCTGATGGCCTTCGAGTTCTTTGCGGGAATGGCCTTCTCGGCCACCTCGTCGTACCTCTCGGAGGCATATCCCATGGGAGTTAAGCAGTTCTTCATTGCCCTCACCTTCGGCACCGAAATGTTTGTCTTCCTTATCATCAATGTGTGCGACTACAATTTGATGCAGGGATACAACTACTTCTACATCATGGGCGGCATGTATCTGGCGGGCTTTATTCTGGCACTCATTTCCCTGCCGGAAACGAAGATGATGACCCTGCGAGGTGCCCAGGAACTGTTCAGCCGATTCCTCAACGTTCGGTTCTAGTGAATAGCACTGTACTATACAACACTAAATGTATTTCACAATAAATTATATTTATTTTAAACGGTCAATACTTGCTCTTCTTGTTGGGGAAAACCCCTCCAGTGGGAAGAACACTATAAGAGATACCTAATTAGGCCTATGACTCAACGGTCCATTGGAACTTTTTGAAAGTGTATTTAAGATTAAATATTACAAACTATTTTTGCACCAGTTACTCCTAGTTAAAGCAAACGTATTTTTTTCCGACATCGTGGAAAAGTAAATCCCAAATCCGGAATGTCACAACTCGTTTTTCTCGCAATTTAATTCCAAATCGGATGGTATTCAAACCTAAAGCTTTTCATTTTTACCATTTCCGGAAAAACAATAAATCGAAACTTTTTGTGATTGTTGGTTTACCTAGCTAGCTGCCCAAAACAATGTGTCTTTTAGCTGTTCGCAAACTTTGTCCAAAATTTATTGAAAACGACAAAAATTTCTAAAAACATCATCTCTTTTTTAAGTCCGTAAATCTGTCTGGGCATTATATTCTATGATTTGTTTTGAAATGAAAACTAAGTTTTAAGGACCTTGCACGGGCCCACCGCTAGGTGGCGCTATTCATATGCCAATAAAGGCAAATTTGCTTTGAAATTGGTCAACAGAGCAACAACGACAGCTCTTTAAATTTTTCCCAATTTTATTCAGCTAAGTCAGACAGGATTATAAAGGAAGACGGTTTTCAGCTGCACTTTTAAAAGTAACTAGATATTCACTTTCATTTAAAATAAAACTACTCAATAACTTTCATGTACAAACAGCTTTGGCGCCTCAATATTTTTCATGTTAAGTCATAAAGTTTTACAACTATCATAAATAAAGTTATTATCAATACTACCGTTTGATAAGGCAATGATAAATTTTAGAAAATATTAGGTGGGAAGGCCCTTTGAAACGTGATTCCATTATCGCCCATATCTATCAGCTTAAGTGATGAAATAGAAGTAACAGCTGCAGAGACGGGGAAGCACTTTGTTTAGTATAATCTCATATACTAATCAACTTTAAAAGCAACCAAATCTATGGGTGGTACCCAGTGGCGGATCCAGGATTTTTTTGTGGGGGGTAATATCAGAACAATTTTTTTGTTGCATACCAAAATTTCTTTCATTTTTCACCCGAGTGGGGGGTGATATATCACCCATATCACCCCCGTGGACCCGCGCATGGTAGTTCCTTTTGGGGGTCAGTTTCACGGTAATGCTTCGATAAGAAGTCCAGGCATTATCGTTTGCCATTTGCAGCTTATCAATAACGAGTGCCGATAAGCCCTATAAAAGCACTCAATTATCATTTCGGTCCCATGCCAAATTGGCTAAAAACAATTGGCACTACCATTCCGTCAACCAGTTCCCAATACGCAATTGTCAGGGACAGTTGCACGAAAACGAAAGTCCCAACGAAATGAAGAACGACAAGTTTGCAGAGCCGGAGGCACCGCCAATGGGCTTTGCAACTGCACCACCACAGCAGGGATATCCGCAGCCAGGATATCCGCAGCCAGGATATTCGCAGCCAGGATATAATCAGGCAGGATATCCGCAGCCAGGGCAGCCCTGGGGTCCCCCGCCCCCACAGCCAGGATTTTCGGGATATCCGCCACCACCTCAGCACGGCTATCCCCCACAGTACTACGGAGCACCACCTAGCTATGGAGCACCACCGCCACAGGTACCTCCCCACCCACCCATGCAAACCACCACGGTGGTGGTGAATGGCGGATGGTACAGTCGCAATCAGAAGAACAAGCCACAATCGAATGCTGTTGGCGCAGGTGAGTCACGGTTCAATGTACAATCTAGATTAATATAATTGGACCCTATCTAGTAGATAGTATCTACAATATATAGAATAATATTTTACCAACTAAACACTTAACTTTTTTCCCTCTCTAGCGGGTCTTATTTTTGTCTCTGGTGGAATGAATATTGCGTGGTGCGTTGGTTTCCATGGGCCACTCTGGTATAGAACCAGCAATCATAACTACTTGGCCTGGTTCATTGGTGGCATCATAGGAGCGCTGCTCAGCTGTTTGATGACCAACAAGGTGGCCAAGAAGCATGTTCTGGTGGGTAAAAAATATTATAGATGAAATATAGATTAAAAACAACAATTAAATAATTTTTTAAACAGATCTTCAGTTCGATGCTGGTGATGATCGGTGGCATTGTGATTGCCAGCACCCGAAACAATGGCTCTGCCCAATTGGCGGGTTCCTATCTGGATGGAATAGCCAATGGATTGGTATTTGCTCCTTTTATGGCTTTGGCCGGCGAGGTCTCCGTATCCTATATAAGAGGTTTGGTGGCGGCCAGCATTGAGCAGCTGTGCTTCGGCCTGGGAATCTTCCTGCAGATCGTTTACGTCACCTCGTGGAACACCTCTGGGATTTACAACTACAACTCCTTCTCGGCGGAGAACATGAAGGGTGTGCTTAGCGCAATCTATGGGCTTTTGGCCCTGATTATTGGCTCTCTGCTGTGCATTGAATCGCCGGTGATTATGCTGGCCAAGAATAACGACGAACAGGGGGCCATCGATGCCCTGCGAAGACTGCAGAGGCCCTACATTTTGACCAATGAAACCTTCGAGCAGCTGGCGGAGCACAAGAGGTACTTGGCCCAGAACAAGGAGCTCTCGAAGTGCCAGAGCATCGCACAGGCTCTGCCCACCTTCCTTCGATTGGTCTTCCTGCGTGGCCTGAATGCCATGAGCATCTCCAGCTTCGTCCGCATCAGCCTTATGTATACGATTCAATCGCAATATATAGCCGGATCTGTGAGCTGGATCATTGGATTCGGCGTCTGTCGCTGGATGGGCAACTTTGTAGCCACCTTCTGCATGGAGTCGGCTGGTCGCAAGAAGACTACCGTACTGGGACTCCTCGCGTGCAGCGTTTTTGCCTGTGTGGTGGCAGGCCAATATAACATATACAATCGAGCATCCGGCAATGCCAGTATGTTGCTGACCTTTCAACTGATGGCGGGACTCGCCTTCACGGCCACTTCGCCTTACCTCGCGGAGGCCTATCCCCTGGGAGTCAAGCAGCACTTTGTCGCCTTCACCTTCATCGCCGAGATGCTCGTCTTCATTGTGCTGGGACTGATCTCATGGAACCCTCTTGCCGGAGCCGATTACTTCTGGGTCATGGGAGGACTCTACCTGTTCGGCTTCTTCTTCACCATTCTCTTCTTGCCGGAGACCAGAAGAACGACTTTGCGAGAAGCTCAGGACAAGTTCAGCAGGTTCTTCAGCCCGCACTTTTAGGCAACAGGCAATATGTTATGTGTTAGTCAGACCAAAGATAATAAATATTTATAGCTAATCAAGCACTCCGGGCGTTGTATTTCCCAATCGTATTTCAGCCGGTGATAACCCACATCGTCACTAAAGTGTTGGACAATGGAAAACCATTTAGTTTCTTACTGCTAATTTATAGAAAGAGAATTCTACTAACTAAAAAGAGAGTGAAAAACAATTATCAAAAGGTGAAGGCTGGTTACCTGCCAAGGTACACAAACAAACGCGGGACAAAACACATGCTTGGTTCTCAGGTTCTCGGGCATACATATGCCAACAAATCGTGATAGGGAAAATCGGGCTCTAAGAGATAGCGAACACAGAAATATCTAAGCACCTACTTATCAATCAATACCCGATAAGATTAGTTCAGCGCCGATAGCTAAACCTGTTCAACACGCTCACCTACAAGAACCGAAAAACCGAGGACGTGTAGTCTTCTCCGCGAGTTCGGCCACAAAGGGTCCAATGAACAGCGATCGACCATCTCCAGACGACGGTTTCCATGTCGTCCCCATCCACAGTGACTCGGATAACCACATCCACCGCAACTCGGATCGCCAGCGGGAGCTGATCCTCCAGAACTCCCAGACGAGTCCCTGTTGCAACCGGGATCTCCGCAATCAGCCGCAGGCAAATGCAGTGGGAGCTGGTAAGAATCAGATTTAGAATCTAGAAAACACAAGAAAATCATTAATGATTAGGTCTATCAAAAGATGCATTATAAGAAGGTTAAATGCTTTACAGAAATCTCTCCCAACCATATTCGGTTGAAATTCTCATGTAGATCTGTATAAACATCTTAGAAAGAGATTTCTGTGGTACCCCCATTATTCCTCTTATAATATTTGTTGTTAGGAATAAATATCTTTTTATCTATCTACAAAAATAAACATTTATGTTGATCAATAGTTATTTGGAAGTAATACATCATTACCTATCCATAACAATCACTATTAATCTATCTATGTGGGCGATGAATACGCGTCATATTATTTTGGATAAGTGGAATTCCCAGTCAGAAATGATTCATTTCATGTGTCAGTAATATTTATTACGCCGAATTTGGTTTTATCACAGCGGAATCCTGTCAATAAATGTCATACAAATATTATTTGTTTATTAACACATTATTTGCATACTTTTTATTATCTAATGTAGATTAGATTACGCACACATACATGAGAAAGAGCTTTAAAATCTCTTTTCTACCTAGTACTATTATTATTATTAATTAAATAAAATTTAGAGAAGGTGAATATTTTTGCGTTTTAAATTTCTTCGTACTTAATGAAGCGAAAAATAATACAGCAGTTTAAAATGCCAGTCAAGTTGTCAATAGAAATCTTATCTTTTAAGCAGGCATTTCAAGCGTTTCCTTTTATTGAGCAGATAACGGTATTTGTTTGCTGCACTTAATATTTTTTAAATATATTAATAAAATCTATTTACCCTACAGCTGCCCTGATCTTCCTGTCCGGTGGCCTTCACATTGCCTGGAGCATTGGTTTTGACTCTGTTTTTGCAGAACTGGAAGTTACTAACCATGTTCGGATCTGCTGGTTTATAGCTGCCATTATTGGGGCTCTATTGGGTGGATTCTTCAGTAGATGGTTCCCCTACAAAGTACTAATGGTGAGATAATAAACTGTAAATAAACAAATCCATTTTTAACAAGATTTTCACCCCTAGGAATTCTGTTCCCTGCTCACTCTCACCGGCGGAATAGTGATGGCTGTGAATGGACTGGATCTCGATGCCCTGCTGGCGGGGAGGTATTTGAATGGACTGGCCAACGGTCTGGCCATTGCACCCACCTTGGCGATGGCCGGTGAGCTGTCGGTGTTCTACAAAGGGGCACCCACACCTCGGCGGCGGAACAGTGGCCCACAACGATTGGAATCTTCGTGCAGATCGTGTGCAGCAAGAGTTGGGATCCGCAGAGTGAGTTCACGGAGGAGCAGTTTCAGGGCGCGATGAGTGGAGTTCTGGGCGGCATAGCCCTGCTGCTGGCCTTCCTGCTGTCCATCGAATCGCCGGTGGATCTGCTGGAGCAGGGCGACGAACAGGGGGCCATCCAGGCGCTGAGCAGGCTGCAAAGACCACGGGCCGTGACGGCCGAGACCTACGATCAGGTGAGGGATCATCGCACCTACCTGCAGCACCACAGATCCCTCGGCTGGCGACAGGCCCTCCCCGCCCTCCTTAGACTCTCGGTTATGAGGGCTCTCTATGCCCTTAGTCTGAGTATGGTGGTGGCCTTCACATTGGCCTGGACGAGCACAGCGGTCTACGGCGAGAGTTCGGGGCCCTATGTGCTCTTCGGCTTCCTGCGACTCGTCTTCAGCTGCTCGGGGGCCTTCGCTTTGGACTCCCTGGGCCGGAAGATTCCCCTGCTCCTGGGACTCGTAATCTCCGGAGGTCTGTGCTTTGGACTGGCCAGCCGATTCACGGGCAGCTTGCTGCTCACTTTGTCGGACAGTCGAATGGCCCTGTGGCTGCTGCTCATCTTCCAACTGTTCGCCGGCCTGGCCTTCGCCCCCGGCTCATCGTATCTCTCGGAGGCCTTTCCGCGTCGCCTCAAGAGGACCTGCATTGCCCTCTGCTACGCCACGGAGATGCTGGTCCAGCTGCTCGTCTGCCAGGTAGATCTCAGTGCGTTTGGCAGTGACGCCGGCTACGTGGCCCTCTACTTCTTCAGCCTGGGCGGCCTCCTTCTCGCAGGATTCCTCTTCTGCGTTTGGTATATGCCCGAGACGAAGGACACCACCCTGCTGCAAGCTCAATTTAAGTTCCAGGAATTCGTCATTCCGCCCGCCTGAAAGTAGGCAACTCGAAAGGAAACTAAAGACTAGCCAACAACCCCGTAGAAAATAGCTAACAAATAAATCTGAAATCTTTAAAACAAACCATGCTTGTTTATCGCCGCCTTATCGGTGCTAAAGTGACTGGCCAGATTTGGCTGTTCGAGTATTTGCTGCACTCCTTTGTGCCGATCACCGTGAAGAGCTAATGGTTATTAGATTCAGGGGAACACCGAGGCATATAATTGTCAGATAAGACCGGCGTGCTAAAAGGCTTATGGCCAAACGGCAATTAAGTCGGTTCCCATACATCTTTGATAAGATTTGGGGCCCATAAAGGTTTGCTGGACTTTATATGTTCCTCCAAAAATAATTTAAAATGTGAACTAGTTTTGGGTTTAATTAGAATTTTGGAAATGCCATAAAATTTTTACCATTTTTACAATGAGATTATTTTAGGAATTTATGAGTTTTTTTTAATTTTTATGTCAATCAGTTCTGGGTGATTTTTGCTACTGACCGTTTTTTAGGAAGCCTTTTATATTGGTTAAGATAATTATTGTTTGATAAGTTGTTGTAGCAATTTAAGTTCATTTGTTCTGAATTTAAGTTCTGTAATTTTAGCTGTTTATTATTTATTGATTTTTTTTACACTGAACCAATTTTAACCCATAAGAAGTTAACTGTTGTGCCCATCACTATCAAACCCACTTTCATTTCCGACGTCAATAAACTGTACAGTGCAAAGTGTCCACTGTGGCCCGTAACTTTACTCGCACTATATACACACATGTGATTTTTCACCTTCGTATGTATTCAAATTTAATTAATTTATTTATATCCACTAATCAGGCCGATAAGTGGGCTGACAGAAAGTGTTCTGCCCGCGCTTATCTTATCGCCGTGCTGGCCATTTCGAGGCGCTCGCTCAATAACCGCTCGATGCTCCTACGTTTATCAAACGGCGTCCGAACAGTCGGCTAACTTGATTCGCCGCGTTCACGAGTTGGCCGTCCGACAGGTGTGAAATTTACTATATAGCCAAATATCGGCGACACAAAGTGCAAAAATAATGACAAACTCGAGTAGACAAACAAGACAGCAGCAGCGGTTCCAATGAAAAGAGTGCCAAGTAAACAGTCAACAAATCAATTTGACAAATAATTGAAAACGGAAACGTCGCAACGATTCTGAAGTCCGTGGATTTTAACTGCGTTACGCAGTGTTTCCAGTGATTATAAATTAAAGCCCAAAAATGCCGATGTTACCAACGATTGAGGAGGAGGGCAAGCTGTCCTGGCTTCGCGTCATGTGGAAGTATCGCCTTCAATTTCAGTCCATGGCCTCGGGTAATAATAATCAAAGGAACCCATGGAGGATCTTCAGTTTTTAACCCCATTTCTGTGTGTCCCACAGCTTCGATTGTCTTCGTGGGCTGTGGAATGCGTTTGGCCTGGTCAATCTTCGACACGCCCGCCGGAAAGTTCCTCAATAACAATAATACCCACAACCTGATGATGAGCTGGTTCATCGGAGCTGCCCTGGGCGCCCTTTTGGCCGCACTTTTTGTACAAAGGGTCACCAAAAATGTGGCATATGTAAGTGATTTTATGGCTCGCCATTTATTATTTTATAATTATTATTTTAACCTACTGTGTGCAAAACTCCCACCTAGCTTTGCCCTTTTTCATGCCACCAATAATTGACTCTGCAGCCATAAGCACTCTTCCATTATCAATCCAATAAACTGATAAGGCGATCGCGTTTAACCTGCATTGGCCATTAAGTGGCGATAGGAAACTGGGCGGCAAGCGAGGGCTGATCGATTGGTTCCTGGGATTTTCCAAGTGGAATTTGTATTACACAAAAAGGCAATTATTATAAATGGTTTTCCAGAAATAGTTGGGGTGATAAGCCGAAAAGGTTAGAAATTGAGAATGACGTATTTAAATGCTAAATAAAAAAATTATGATGATTATTATCTTATAATTTTTTTATATATTAAAATATTTTTAGAATTATACTAAACTTATTTTAAAACTAAGCTCGATTTATAACCTCTCTAAAATCTTCTAAAATTTCTGTTTTATTTTACAGACCTCCAGTGGCTTTCTGATGATCATGGCCGGCATTCTGAATATAGTTCTTCCCCAACATTTCCTGGCCGCCTGCTACAGCAGCGTGAGTGTGGGCGCGGCCTATGGGCTGACCCAGGTTCAGGCTCTGGTCACAGGATCCGAGGTGGCCCACAAGTCCATCCGAGGGATGCTGCTCAGCTGCGAGAAGGTCTTCCTGTGGCTGGGCGTCTGCGTGCAAGTGTTCTACACGCGTGTTTGGCGCAATCTGAGGCCCCTGGACTCGCAGGGCTACGAGTTGCACATCGATCAGTTGCACGGAATTGGGATGGCTGGCCTGGGAGTGGCAGCTGTTATCCTGGCACTGGCCCACCGACTGGAGTCGCCACTGCTGCTGTTGCACCAGGAACGAGACATGGCAGTGGGGGATACCCTCAAGGCGCTGCATGGACAGTCCACCACAGAGTTGGTGAGATTGAGGGAGGACTGCCGACAGCTGCATAGCGCTCGGGATTGGGAGCGATTCGTGGAGGAGCCGGAGGAATCTGCCTCGGTGGCAGGCTGGAGGATCTGGGCCCGCCGACTCCTGCCCTTCGTGAAGGTCCTGCTGCTCCGGTGCTTTGCCACCCTGGCCGTGTCCTTGAGCTACAACCGTGCGTTTGTGGTGGTCAGCTGGCATGGCCTGGAATGCGATATGAGCTGCATGTACTGGCTGGCATTTGCCGGTCTCGGTGGTAGCATCCTGGGAGCCTTCATTGTGGATCGACAGGGCCGCAGGAAACTTTGCTCCCTGTCCCTTTTCTTCGCCGGCATTGTGATTGTGATGGTGGGTGGCGTCTTCGAGCATCTGGAGTCCGTGAAGAGATCCTTCTACGACATAAATCTACTGGCCATTGCATTACTAATGCTTCTATTCGAGATAATAGTGGCTGGAGGCGTGGCCGTACCCGCCCTTATATACACAGCCGAGGCGTTTAGTATCGCCCACAAGGCCAGATGTTTGGCTGGGATCCTGATCCTGGAGCAACTGCTGCAGTTGGGCCTTCTGCTGGCCACCTTCGAGCACTACATCACCGTCTCTGTGTTCTTTTTCACGATCGGCAGTCTCAGCTTTATAGTCGGTCTCATGGTATTCATGCTCATGCCGGAGACCAGACAACTGACACTCTACGAGTGCCTGCTCAAGTTCAAGAAAGTTCCTTAAGGCCTCGCCGTATCTCTAAGTGCCCAGTATCTGTTATCTGTAGCTATCTGTTATCTATTTTTACGTACTCCATATTCTATTCGTGTGCATATCATTATCAATTGTATACGGTATACCTTCTCCTAACGATTTCATTTTGCCATTCTGGCAACCTCATAATTTAAGTGATTATATAAGCAAAATACCCTTATATCTATAGCTAAAGATCAATTCAAATAATTTGGGCTTGATTCATATGAGTTGCTCTCGTTATATACGAATTTCTTATATATTTTCTTAATAAGAAACTATTCAATAACTATTTACTGTAAAAATAAATACAAAAAATGTATTTATGTGAAGCAAAATCAGCTTTGCAATTAAAAAATTTCTGTAACTTTGCACTGCATTTAAAATATACCTAATAAAAAAAAATGTTTGTGCTTGCACATAAATGGTATAATTTCAAACATTTGAGGCTTGTTTTGAGGACGCATCTTAAGGTCTCTTTAATTAATATAACAACAAAAAAATACAAATAAATAAACAATTAAAATAAATTTAATTATATAAAAAATAGTAATCAACGTGGCTATATAACAAAATAATCTTTCTTATTTTAAAAATATTAATTTATCAATATTAAATATTTAAAAATTGTAATATTCAAAAAGTTTCAAACGATTATAGAATGAAACCAGTTTACATTCATACTTAATTCCATGTAAAAACACTCCAACCGTTTACAAAAAAGCTTTTAAAATATTTTACCATGGCCTGTATTATAACGGTTCAATGCAGCGCTAAAGCTTTCACTTTCCTCTAACTGTTTTTCCAAGCTTTTCCACCATAAACTCTCATAAACTGTTACCACTATTGGCTTTCCAGAGCTTTTCCTGGAAGCCATACTGAAAACAACCTTTCTGCGGTCTATGTAAACAAAGTGTTTTTACGATTATGCTACCCTTGCCGGCTAGTGAAAGCTCCTCGGCTCATTCATAAAGGTTCCTGGTGCTCCGCCCTACCCTTCCACGCATCCTGGCACTTTCCTGAATTTAATGCGGATTTTAGAGCGGAAAAAGGGACGAAAAAAGAGAGCAAAATCGAGTTGATTAATATGGCGTGTGATGAATATGCATTGGCCACCAAAAAGCCGAAAGGGAAATGCGAACCAGCTCCCCAGCTGGCTATCTAATGATGTGGAAAATTCACTGGGCTCCTCCTTACTTCTTTTTTGCAGATACCAGATACTTTTACTACTTATCGATATGCAATTTTTGTGTTCCACATTCCGCTTAGCCAGACAAAAGCACTTTGGGATGCCAGGGCCCAGAAGTGGTTGCTTTGCCGTCCTGTAGCTTGTGTTCCATTTAATGTTTGGAGATGGGCTTGTTTGATCATGTGGATGTCTGTGTGTGGCCAGTTGCTGCGGTTGCTTTGTTACTCAATTGTATCTGGCCGCAATTAGCAATTCTGGCCAACACTTGCCAGCCATTCAATAACATGCGGTCGACAACCAAACTCGAGGCTCTGGTCCAATCGAATCCCGTTTAAAGTTATTTAATTTTTAATTGAGTTAATTAGTGGCAGTACAATTTCTTTGTTTATGCAGCAGCAACAGCAATGGCAAAAAAAAAGTCAAAGCAAATAACAAACAGAAATACAGAGAGAATTCTGTAGCGCTATTTCTCTTAAATTGCCTTAAAAATTAAAAATTTTTTTTCCACAAAAAATGGGGGGAAAAAAAAAATCATTCCACCAATACATTTTTAATAAAAATTATTTAAAAGTTAAAAAAATTAAATTAAATATATTCATTCAAACATAACATATTTAATATTTTTTGAAATTATTCCCCATTTTATTTTCCCTTACCTATTTATTACCATGTTACCAGATGGATAATACAAAATAAACTATTGGTTTATAGTTCTTAATTTTTTTTGCTGATACAATAGTCTTGATTCAATGAAGAAAAATAATATATAAAGAAATAATATTTTTAAAAGTTTTCTTTCTGTCTTCTAAATATTTTTAAAGCCAAAGACTTCTGATTTAATTGTGGTTTTTTCTCCAAGTGAAAGTTATGGCCCGCTTTGTTGGTAAAAGTTCCCAGGGCTTTACTGTGGTCCGAAAACTATTTTAAACTTTAGGGCTCGCCAATTAGGGCCAGAATACGAGACAATTATGGCTTTTGTAAAAAATTCACTAAAATTCCAAACAATTTAAGGTAGATATTATATTGCAGTATAATGCTCAAAAGGCAGCTTACTATTTACTGCTTGCAGAAAGTAAACCTTGTCCACCTGAAATAACTCGCCTTATCCCTAAAAGTTTCCCGTATCTCTCGCTTTCAGTGCAAACAGAATAAACTATGGCAGCCGGAGAAACGCTCAAAGTAAAGAACTGCAAACAAACCAAAAATCATGGAAAAATAGGAGCAAAGCAAAGAGAAACATGGCTAACATTTTCACCAGAAGTGCGGCTCATATGAGGTCCCTTTGGAGCGGGCTTAATGCGTTGCTGTTGCCCTTGTTTCAATTAACTGAAATTGAAAACGACAATCGTAAACATTAACAGCAATGGGATTCCCCGCTGAGCAACAGGAACAACAATCGCAATGCAAATCGCTGTGGTGCAGCAGAGAAAACACGTCGACGGCCAGAAGTCAAGGAAAACCGCTTTCCTCATTTCCACACTCCCGCAAGCCAAAAGAAAACAGGTTAAGAAGAAGAGGGGTTTGGCTGGCGGGCATCGTAAATGAAAAAAGCAAACAAACGTAAAATTTTATTTGTGCGCAATTTTCTATAAATTTTCATCGATTGCCATTGGGATATTGGCGACATTTGCGTTTGGCATTTTGCTGCGTCCTTCAGCAGCGTTATATATATATATTCGTGGGATCCTGGTGGCTGGTGGCTCCTTCGACTGCCATAACTTCAGCTGCACTTGGAATTATGTTTTGCCGCACACGAAATTGAAAAGTACATATACTATATGTATTACAAGTTTCCAATCAACAGCGAATGAAGTTGCCATAATGGCAAATAAATTATGTTCTGCTCTCCGCAGGAAAAGTGAAAAGAGAAGGAGAAGGAAAAGGAAACGGAAACCCGGTAAGCAGCCATTGCTGGCATCAAATTAATGTCTCAGCACGCCGCAAAATGGCCTACGTGGCGAAATTTATGACGCCGAAAGACAACTCTAAAGTAGCCAAGTGGCCAAGTGGTTTGGCCACCCACTCCGCTGCGGTGTGACAATAAAACGGAGTCAAATGGCCATAAAAACGAGGGCTGCCATCGAGGGTCTCAAAATCCAAAAACCACAAAGAAATGGCCCATACATAAGCATATAAAAGCGAAATAATAAATAAGACCGTAAATTCCTCAGAGGGGAAAAGCGGAAAAGGGTAAAGGGTTTGGCCGATCATAAACAGACAAAGTGCGAGCCATTCAATAAGCCAACTTCTCCAATCACTTGGCCGCAGGCAAAACTGGGTGAAAACTTTAAGCTGCACTTCGGCAATCGGAAGATCAGCATTTGGGGAAATTTCAAAAGTTGACAAATTAATTGGAAATTAAAACGAGCAACTGACACGCATGTTTCTCTGTGTGTCTGGCCTGTCAGAAAGTAAATTGACACGTTTTCATTTCATTTGTTGCCGTCCTGGAGTTTTGGCCTTTGAGTTCTGCGCCGAAAATAAACGCCGCCCAGCTAAACTTTTCCCTAACAAGCCTACAAAGTTTGGCTCGCCCTTCCGACAGCAACTTTTCCTTTAAACGAGGAGCAGGCTTCCCGAAAAGTTGATCAAAAATTAAAGAAGGGACTACTGCCGTGCAGATTGACTGCTGCGCCACACAGAGCGCATTAAATTTAATTAGCTCACATAAATCCCGCTTCGAGGTCTGGCCGAGATTCGGATTTGGCTTTGGATTTGGCCTGGGGATCCTGCACAGGGCACACAGGACTCACTCGAGCTGACATTTTTAATGCAAACGAGGGAGGAGCAGGGAACGGGGAAAATGAAGTCTACGGTTTTTCCTCTTTTTCCAGGGCTTTCATGACTTATGCAAGTTTTGACGACAGGTGCACGCGTCTGCAACTCTGCTATTTGTGTGTGCCTTCGTGTTAAATCAACTGTCGCTTCCTCTCGGCAAAGTTTGTCCTGCGAGGACAGGACATTCAGGAGCAGAGCCAGTGGAATTCAAGTTATGATAGCTGCATGCGTTTCAACAATTTACTTAACAGCTAACTGCGCTGAAAGTGTCACAGGGGCGAATAAATCGGAGAAGCGTGAGAAAGTGCGGCAAATGGAGCAGGAAGTTGAGCTTACTTATTTTTAAGCTCGTTGAAATGACTGAGAAAATAATGCAATTTCATAGAGCATTCAAAAAAATCTAAGAAATTATTTAAAGCTTTGGTTGGGAAAAAAGAAATGCAGTGTCCAAATATATTCCCTATTGGAAGCCACAGAAAAGCCGGAGATTTTTTCAGCTCAGTCGAATGGGCAAAAAATCCGCCACAAACGGCCTCGTCAGCCATTTTTTTGCGCAATTTAATATTGAACTTTAAGCTCGGCTCACGATTGTTTTGCTTTCGTTGGGCGTCTGCGACTGTTGCTAATTAAATTCTCCTTTTTCCCAGATTATTAACGCATCCAATGGAGCAGCGGCGGCTGTCCCTTTTGTTGTTTGTTGGCGAGTGTCATTTATGCCATGCAATTAACGCCATTAAAAATCGCCGAGCGCTAATTAAGTGCGGCATGTATTTATGCATTTTGCATGAGTGACTTGTGCATTATTTATGGCTGATTTTTCAATATTTTTGTTTACCAGTTGTGCTTGCGGTCGAATGGATCGATTCAATCAGAGCCTTTGTGAGCGCCTTTGGAAATCATTTTGCTTCACAGGGAGCCAGGGAGGATGGGAGCGGGCAAGCACGAAACAGTTCACTTCCGTTTTGTTCAGCAAAGTTCCGTAGCCAAGCCCCCTGCCACGCCCCCAATCCCGATCGCCGCCCCGCCTCGCCCCCCGCGAAACGAGGTTGCGGAAGTCCTGATAATGTCTGCCACCCGGCCATTGACAACCGTTGCAAATGCAACCTGCAACCTGCCTCAAAACAGTTTGCTTGCTATAATAGCACACTTGAGAAAAGTAATTTAGTAGCTCTTGAATTTCATCTTCAATAAAAAAAATAGCAACGTTTTTAAAATCAAATATTAATTTTATTAAAATTAAGTATAAAAGAAAATTACATAAAATCATTTACATACATGGGTTTAAAAATAACACAAATTTTACATTTATAGTTTTCTATGAGTAACTTAAAGAATTAATGGCTTAAATTTATAAAAAATTTGCTCTCTAAGAATAAATAAATATTTTTTTGAGTTAA